TTCAAGCCAGGGCCGGGCCATGCTGGGCCGCGAGGGCATCTCCTCCGCTGCGAATTGCGTGTCGGTCCGCACCCCTGGGTCAGGTCTGCTTGTCAGTCTGGTGGATCAGTTTCCCCTTCTTCGACCTTTGTGCTAGCGGCGCCAATAATTGTCACGCCAATAAGCGAAAAAAAAACTATGGTATTTGCAATCGTAACCCCTTGTAAAGAGCCGACAGATATGTTAGTCACCCTTTCTGATTCGGGTGATTTAGGGGAGGGCAATAACTTCCTGATCTCCCGCCAACCCTTCACCTGATAGTGTGCTGCACTGCCTTGTCTAATTCGAAACATAACCTGTGGAATACCCACATCTCAGCTCATTTGTTACTTGTTTACTTTATTGATCTAGCAGATTCTGTACTTTTACAGTTGGGAAAACGGCCGCCAATGTGTGCAGCCATGTGCGAAATGCTGCGAATCACTATCAGAAAAAGCTAGTTATGTTAGTTCAGAATTCGACAGCTCGATTAGTCCGATGGAGGAACGGTAAAGGCCTCATCAACCGACTCTTAGTGATTTCACCTACTCATCTTGACATTCAGGCAAAAAGCTGCATGGCTTAATCCGCTTCCCGAGTATCCGTCGCCCTACACTTCACCAAATCCGCCTGCAGATGCTTTAGAGGAGTACTTGGACGCCAGTGATAGTTATCCTCCTAAATATGAGGACACATTCGGTTCGTTGTACACTCTTACGTTCTGCTTTGTATACTGTAGCAATCCGATCGATTTAGCTAGGAGCGACTCTTCGCCAAGCATAACCAGCAAGGATAATTCACGTAGCCCACTGGACAGGAGTCGCAAAGGGATCTCGGTTAGAACGAGTATTACTTGACAATCAGTCGAGAGAGACTTGTTTCAAGTGATTTCAGATTATCCGGAATTCCCGAAGAAGATAGCGGTTTGGGTTCAGACAACGGAGATCCTTCATTGGGCAGAAGTAGATTGAAATTGCCACCACCACCTCCACATGGCACAATCCAAGAAGAAGATCCATGGGACCTGCCGCAGTCTCGCACGAGATCAGCGTCCACTGATGACAAACGAACTAGTGCTGGCGTACCCCTACTCCAGGTGAGGTCCTTTAGTCGATCCAGTAAAGATCTCGGTCGTTGAAACTTACAACACCTCGGTCGTGGAAACACGTCCCTTTTTATTGCCTGTATTTGCCTATGTCCTCTGTAAGCGCAAATATCAAAACAGCACCCCTAGCAGAAAGTCGTGTCGATGAATCTTAACGCGTGGGATAGAGTTGCCCACGAGTATCACAAGCCGTGGTCGCGGCTCGAAAGTGCGCGACAATGGCACTAGGATCTACATAGTCAGCATTTGATGACTAATCTTAGCATTTGGACGAGTTACGTAGCGCACATCCCCGCAACTGGATTACATAGCGGCGAATTTAAACCTAGCGCGGTTAATTGGCGAGAAGCTTCCGCGCATCTCGTCTAGCCTTGCCCGTATTTCAAGGGTATATTTATTAAGGCTTTTATCAAAGGTTCTCTCCGCTTCCTTTAGGGGGGTAATGGCGGGCGGTGGGAGAGCTTCCATAAGGCTGAAAGAGTGACCAACGGTCATTTAACTAGAAGCAAACGAGCGACATCCTTTCTCACTTCACTTCTATCAGCATGTCTGCCTCTCACTTCGTTTATTCGTTGACACAGTCTATCGTATGTACATATCAATTCGCGATATTGTCTTGCCATACTACCCTACCGTCATAAATATGAATAGGTAGTTTGAGAGTGAACGGCACGGGTCAACCCTATTTGGGAGCACAGTTACAACGGGGGAAGTCGTTACTTGGTTTGTTTACGGGGGGCTCGTACCTCGGCAGTGGGATTCTTGGTAATATCGGATATAGCCAGCACGTTACGTTTTCGTAAGATGAATTGATGCTATAGCATCCTATAAACCCACGCTTCCTTCTAAATGAGCTTTCAAACGAATCAGCGATATCAGAAGCGCGGCCGAGGCGTGGCGCACACCACCAAGGCGTGTATGTCACTGCACGCGCATGCTCGAAGCTTTCTAACACATCTTATGTTCCACAAGAAATTGCTTTCCATAGAGTTACGTCAGAGGAAACCATTAAACAACCCGCATGTTCACCGATAAATGGCTTGAAGACGCTCCTCAGAAATTTTCATTAACGTTCCGGTACTTTAGGAAGCTTGAATCCTGTCAGTTTTGCATACCTGTGTATCTCGCTTCGCCCAATATGAATACTTTTGTACAATAGTTATGATCGTTCGAATGGAGTTTGAAGGTTAAAAAGTCGCACATTTGCATAGAAAAAAGTTCCAACGTGCTAAATTTCTATAAATTAAACTTTGAAGAAAATTTAGACATGATTTGGAAAGATAATTTGAATTTTTCCAAATCAAATCACTTCGGCGCAAAAGCTCGAATATGAAGGAAGTTAATAGCTAGAAAGAGTATGTAAAAATTCTCTTGCAATTTTATTTTTGTCTCCAATAACTTATTCATTTCAAATTGTTTGAGAACAAATGAGCTTCTAATTAGAAAGGCTGAGCCTCGTGATCCAAAAATCCGCCTCCATCTTTTCGAAGTACCTGAAATTTAACGAAGAAAAATTCGTCTACATTTCAATATCCCCGTTCGTCACCTGTGTCCCGATCAGCAAACGCGCTCCATCGTCAGGGCGCGATTCAAAACATTCAAAACCGAGGGTGGGTCCGATCCAACGTGCCCATAAATAGGGGGGGGTGCGTTGAAATATCCCAAGGACAACGTTGGTTGACCTGGAGTAAACCCTTGGCAGCGGTCAATTCTTTTCTGGGACCCGCCACACATTCGACTTCCATTCAAAATTGTAGTAGCATTTGAATGTCTCATATCTACATATAAAATGAATTGCGGGACCAGTTGATGTACAAGTCACTGTTTTATTCTTTAGACCCCAGCAACAACCACCCTCAGCTCACCATCTCTAGAATATTTAACTTATTTATTTGTTGTCCACATAGGTGATTCAACAAATCAACAAGCTACATATGATTTAGAGGAGTTCTATGGACCTGTTCATGCTTTATAACCATGGAATTTGTTCTGTATTCTGTCAATATTGGAAGGTCAATGACGGAGGACGTTAAAGAAAGCCATTAGTTTAGGCATAGGCATGGAATTAGAAACCGAAATTTTAGATGTTAGGTATTCCCTATTCCCAACAACTCACTTCCTGTCTCACAATTGAGAGTCCAGCTCCGAAGATCTTTCTCGGTGATTATAAGAGATCTGAGTCAAGAGCTGTAATCATTTCTCTGGAGACCTTTTAACCAACGCTCAGAAGAAAAATTGACAGTATAGAGCTAGGGAGGTCATTAACAAGGCAGGGCAATGCTCCCAAAGGCCGCAGCTTCTCGAAAGTAACGTAGACCAGGTCCCTGGGCTTTTGAATATTTGAAAACTCGCATAGTTTGAATTGTTTAAGGTGCCTATGCAGACTTCGATGGAAGAAGAAGAAACCTCACAAATGAGCGACTCTCTTTCTGCAGCTGCTCCGAAACTGTTCGTTGCTTCAGGCAAGGACCGACAAACAACGCTTTAACCGTGATCAATCGCCAATGCTGGTTGTGAATTTGTGCATGAATCAAGAATTTCTGTTGGATATTGCTTGACTGATGTGAAAATTCGTTTTCAATAAATATTTTCCTTAATGTCGTCAAATGTCACACTCTTCGTCGGCAGCCTTAAGCTTTCACGTGTAAAAATTACCGAATTT